ACCATGATATAAATTATATATAAATCAAATATTTCCCGGCCGTTAAATTTTTCTTCACAATGCAATGTAATTTACGGTAATCTACTGTATTCAGTTTATACAGTATGTTACTGTTGATTATACAGTCATTTACTTTGAACATAACAGGATGTACTTTTACAGTGTAGCTAACTAGCTGTTTGAATGTAAAAAATACGAGGACAGACAGTGCCCTGCTTTTCAAAATGAGTACTCACTCAAACCGATAACTCAACTTCAACTGGATTTCAATCGATAGAGAATGTTTCCTCCTTTATCTGACTGGTTGGAATAGCAGCCTCGTGAGCCCGTTTCACAGCAACTCTCCTGGCTTACTGATATGAATTGCCTTTGCAAGTGCACCCCGCAGCACACGTACACATACACAATACAGCATCTAAATACTGAACTCATGATAATAATCAATATGAAAACATTCATAACAAAGCTCACTTAAATTACATACATATTGTCTTCCTATCGATCTAACCTATCGTTACCACGAATATCACATTTCGGTCACAAACCATTGTGCTGGAGGTTGGACATATTTTAGAGGAGTATCAACCAGAGACCAAGGATGCGTCCCAAATGGCACCATATTCCCTTTATAGTGTACTACTTTTGACTAGGGCCCATAGGCTCTGGTCAAAAGTAATGCCCTAAATAGGGAAAAGGCTTTCAATTTGAAACGCAACCCAAGAGCCGAGGCTTTAGTCCAGACTGGGAGGATCAGCCCTGAGCAGTACCGTCCAACCATCTGGGCTGTTCTGACACTATTAGAAACAGACTGCCTGGCCCTGGTCTGCATCTGGGGAGTGTGTGTGTGTGTATGGATCAACCATGTGAATCCATTTATGGAGACATCAGATCTTTCCATTATTTTCTCACGAGTGAGATTTGGAGCAGTGTTCTACCTTTTCCATGGTAATGGAATACTGATTTTGTAACGATAGCACGTTATAAGATGTGAGTGGTTGACGGATCCTTTCCTTTTCCCTTGCCTAAAACCGGCTTGATTCTATTTCTTTCAGACACACACACTGCTATGACAAGTTGTTGAGGTCAAGAGTCTATAACGGTGTTTTTATATCCACAGATAAGATCTAGACCCTGTAATGAGATGGAGTCTGAGTGCAGAAACCGGTTTCCCAGCCACTGTATCTCTACTCAGAGACAACTCATTCAGGAAACTGTCTAAATCAGGTTCCTGAATGAGTTGTGGCTAATTACACTTTGGGTAAACGTTTCCCATAATCATAGATCTAGGATTAGCTAGCCTTACCAAATCCTAACCTCAATCATTAGGTGGTAAACGCATAACCAACCTTGGATGATGATGTCCTCCAATGGTGGATGCAGAACCAGGCCAGCCTAGTACAGCTCAGTTTGACACTATAGTGTGAATCAGGCACAACAGTACTTGGCCTGAGAATACAGCTCTAGCTGACATTGTTTAATTGACAGGTTGAACCCTTTAAGAAGCTCCATCTCCATATCAAGGGGTGCTGTAATATGCTCTCCTCCTGTCTGCTCTTTCCTCCTGTTCAAACTGCCATCGATAAAAATGCAATTGTGTTCATTGTTTGTAGCTTATGCCTGCCCACAACATAACCCCACCGCCACAACGGGGCACTCTGTTCACAATGTTGACATCAGCAAACCACTCGCCCACACGATGCCATACACATGGTCTGCAGTTGTGAGGCCGGTTGGACGTACTGCCAAATTCTCTAAAACGACATTGGAGGCGGCTTACGGTAGAAAATTGAACGTTAAATTCTCTGGCAACAGCATGACAACTGCAAACTCCGTCAAAACTTGAGACATCTGTGGCATTGTGTTGTGTGACAAAACTGCACATTTTAGTGGCCTTTTATTGTCCCCAGCACAAGGTGCACCTGCGTAATGATCATGCTGTTTAATCAGCTTCTTGATATGCCACATCTGTCAGGTTGATGGATTATCTTGGCAAAGGATACATGCTAATTAACAGGGATGTAAACACATTTCTGCACAAAATTTGAGAGAAATAAGCTTTTTGTGCAAATGGAAAATTGCTGGGAATTTTTATTTCAGCTCATGAAACACTTTACATGTTGCGTTTATATTTTTGTTCAGTGTAGGTTCTACTACTACTAGTATTGTGCACTACTTTTGACCAGAGCCCAAACCCCTGTTCCCTATCGTGGACATATTTTGACCAGAGTTTAGTAGCTAGTAAGTAAGCCTTAACTAAGTAAGCCTTGTCCGACCCAGAACATCTCATAGGGCAGGAGCCTATCTCCTGTTTCTGTAGCATGAGGCAGATTGATGTACAAGTACACCCCCTGGACAGGCTGCTAGTCTGTCGCAGGGCCTTACTCCGAATTCATCTCCTGAATGCTGAGTGCCAAGCAAAGGCATCAGGTCCCATTTTTACAGTCTTTGGTGTGACTCGACCGGGGATCAAACCTCCAAACTTCCAATCTCAGAGTGGACACTAACCACAAGGTCACTGAGTTGGTCACCTAGTAGCTAGTGAACTAGGATAATACCCGAGAGTCAATTTCAGATGCAGTCATCCTCTCACTTCTCCAGAATGTTCCAAGGGACATTGCTAAAAGAGATGTGGCACGTGGAGGAGAGGTCCATTCAGTACTGTGGTGCTTGAGGAACAAAATTAGGCCATGGATTGTTGGAGGCGCTCAAACGGCAGACAGGGACAATTTTTTTTTTTTACAAGACAGGGTGATACGATTAGGCTTAGGGAATGAGGTATGAGAAGTAAAGTAGTGAAATGGAGGTATAGTAAGTAATATAATATGCCATTTAGCAGAGACTTTGGGTGGCCCTGGGAATTGAACCCACAATCCTGGCTTTGCAAGTGCCATGCTATACCAACTGAGTAAATACAGTAGATAAGGATGGATGTCGGAATTCACATGCTGTTGTTATCAAGTAAAATGATAGCTTTTTTAAAGGCCCAATGCAGTCAAAAACTAGGTTTTCCTGTGTTCAATTAAAACAATTATTTCCACAATATGAGGTTGGGATAATACTGTGAAAATTATTATAATTCCCTTTTAGTGTAAGAGCTGTTTGAAGAGACCGCATGACATTTCAGCCTGTTTTGGTGGGATGGCATTTTGGCCTGACGTCAGACGGTAAATTATATAATAGACCAATAAGAACGAGAGTTCCGAACCTCTATGCCAATAACAGCACATTTTCAGTTTTCCCCTCCCCACTCACACCCTTCACAGACAGTCATAGCAAAATTCTTGCTTGAGTAATTGCGCTTTGCTAAGAAGCTATTTTGGTTTCTTTTTGACCATTTTAATTTTAAACAATTACACTAAGGTATTTAATTGTTAGCCAGAGATGATTTGATATTGAGAAAAAACTGCTGCATTGGACCTTTAAGCTACATCCAAGTATAATGATAACTGCTGAACCCATAATGGCTGTGTCCACATTAGATATTTACATTCCAGTCATTTCACAGATGCTCTTTACACAGACACGACCAGTTCTTGTATCATTTTTATTTTTTTACTCTTCATTCAAACAAGTAAACACAACCATATGTTATTAGATTATTCCATCCCTCCATTATAGTAACTGAAAGTTTTTGCAACAGCTGTGCAATTTAAAAGTAATAATTAAAAAAAAAGTATGATAACCCCAAACCGAAATTCTATATGCCCTTCCCCCGATACCATACAGTATGTTTGACAGGCAATTTGCATACTTATGTCGAAGCTGATCTTGAATTAACATGAAAGTAATCTGTTTGATAGTTTCTCATCAATGGGGAGTGTGCAGTATTAGATCATTTAGTAAAAGATGTGTTGTAACAGTGATGCCAGTGTGCATGTGCACATAGGAGAGGTGGCGAGGAGAGATAGTGCCTTCAGCAAGTTTTCACACCCCTGGACATTTTGTTGTGTTACAGCCTGAATTTAAAATTGATTAAATTGAGATTTTTTGGTCACTGGCCTACACACAGTACCCCATAATGTCAAAGTGGAATTACGTTTTTAGACATTTTTACAAATTAATAAAAAATGAAAATATGAAATGTCTTGAGTCAATAAGTATTCAACCCCTTTGTTATGGCAAGCCTAAATAAGTTCAGGAGTAAAAATATGCTTAACAAGTCACATAAGTTGCATGGATTCACTCCGTGTGCAATAATAGTGTTTAACATGATTTCTGAATGACTACCTAATCTCGGTACCCCACACATACAATTATCTGTAAGGTCCCTCAGTCGAGCAGTGAATTTCAAAGCAATTAACTTTGTCCTGAATACGAAGTGTTAGATTTGAGCAAATCCAATACAACACATTACTGAGTACCACTCTCCATATTTTCAAGCATAGTGGTGGCTGCATCATGTTATGGGTATGCTTGTAATTGCTAAGGACTGGGGAGTTTTTCAGGATAAAAAATAAACTAAATGGCGCTAAGGGTAGGCAAAATCCTAGAGGAAAACCTGGTTCAGTCTGTTTTCCAACAGATACTGGAAGATTAATTCACACTTCAGCAGGACAATAACCTAAAACAAGGCCAAATATACACTGGTTGCTTACCAAGAAAACAGTGAATGTTCCTGAGTGGCCAAGTTACAGTTTTGACTTCAATCTACTTGATAATCTGTGGCAAGACTTGAAAATGGCTGTCTAGCAATGATCAACAACCAATTTGACAGAGCTTGAAGAATTCTGAAAATAATAATGCGCAAATATTGTACAACCCAGGTGTGCAAAGCTCTTAAGAGACTTACCTAGGAAGGCTCACAGCTGTAATCGCTGCCAAAGGTGATTCTAACATGTATTGACTCAGGGGTGTGAATAATTATGTAAATGAGATATTTCTGTATTTCATTTTCAATAGATTGGCAAAAATGTCTAAAAACATGTTTTCACTTTGTCATTATGGGGTATTGTGTGTAGATGGCTGTAACAACAAAATGTGGAATAATTTGAGGGTTATTAATACTTTCTGAAGGCACTGTAGGTACTGGATATAAAAACATGATGATAGACAGTAAGACAACATAAAAACACTTAATTACAAAGACAAACACAGAACTGCAAGAGCCTTCCCTAGAAAAAAAAAGTCAAAGTCAAACATCAGTATATAAATATGATCATTCTAAAGTGCATCTCTCAAAGACTTGTCGCATGAAAACGTGAACTGCAGTCCTATTTTAAGAAACAAACAATCTGACAAACAAAAGAAAGAAACAAAAATGATACGTGTATAACGTTTACGCTTGGAGTCGTGCACTTCTGTTCCGTTAAAACATTAAATAAACAGACATCTGCTTTAAAAAACCACCTATGTACAGTACATGCAGTACTTTTTTGCTAAGGAAAAAGATGAAGGTTACAGTATACGAAGAAAGTGGATCAACAGTTTGTTCACATTGTCCAGAGTGGAGGCGATAGCTAGCTAATAGTTTGTGTGCTAATATTTTCTGTTCTCCGTTTTGTTCACACTTGGCATTGACGTAATTAGGTCAAACTTGGTGATTAAAAAGCACAGCGGTGATCAAGTTCCTTCCTTCTTTTTGTTTTTAATCATTCAGGTGAATCGGTTCTTTCTTTCTCTTCATCCCTCCATTCCCAAAAGAGAAAGGAGGAGTGCAGGGATAGAGGGGGGGACAGGGTGAGGGGCTCAGATCTTGGGCAGCTTGGGAGCGTTGACGATGGGGTTAGTTTCCTGGAGGAAGCGGCGTCCGGCGCTCTTGTAGTTGTACGTGCAGTCGTGGGTCTCTGCGTAGCGGTGTGTGGCGCAGAAGTTGTTACCACACCTGAGAAAACAAAGGAACATAACAGCCCTATTTATATATGCCACTCAGACAATATGAGTTTAACCAAAGTGACTTACAGTACAATGAGCGCATTTAGTTACAGTACAATGAGAGCATACCCCCAAAAATGTAAAGTGTGTTTAGGAGGTCCCTGCAGGAATTGAACCCACAACCATAGCCTTGCTCTTACCAACTGAGCCACACAATATGATTAGAAACCCATGTATTTTAGGGCCATATGGAATCTGGCTGGTAAAGGGTCCTTATAAACATCTTCATCAACACCTTGATGTGTTGTCTGCATTTTCAATCAATTACTAAATGGATTACATCTCAGGTGACACATTCAGTCAATTACAAGCCCAGTACTGAAACACCTTATTATCTAGAGATTATTGTGGACACTTATCTCAAACTTTTTTTTAAATAGCTCTAACCCTTCTCTATCCCAGAGGAACTGAAATAGAGATAACAATCCACTTGTGTAGAAAAACTGGACTAAGCATAACGCACACTCCACATTGCTTTAACTGTGACTCATACCCGTTTTCAGATAAGGGAGAGACTATACCCCAGGGATCATCAACCAGATTTAGCCGCGGGACGATTTTTTCTTGAGTGGATGGTCAGGGGGCCGGAACCTAATTAACAATAATTTGTAGAATGCAAATTGATCGCAAGAAGCCCAAAAATTTATACGATTTTACTAAAACATAATTTCAAACCTTGCTTACATTTGTATACGATCACATATATCTCTATTATGCGCAGGAATACTTGGGAACAGATTTCCCAAATTACAATCACTTGGAGCTGATTTCCTGGTGCTTTTACAGTCTTTTATGTCCAACAAGAAACCTGCTAAAGACGGACTACTGAGATGCACACACCAATGGAACACTTGTTAGTGCTGAGTAATCTAAACAATCACAATTTCAATCTTTTGAACCCAGCGTGACTCCAACATCAGACCGTTATAGTGTTATGATGAGAGATGACACAGTTCCAGTACACTCTGTTGCATCACCAGCACACACTGTGTCCCTTAAACAAGGACAGGGGAGCTTGTGATATTTGATACTGGGGTTGTGGTGGTGAGGGAGCATGCGATATCATGATGTTGATGACATGAACACTACTGGACAGGAAAAACTCCTGGCATACTCTAGGCATACCTAGTAGTAGTAAAGACACATACATAAAACAGACAAAACTGAATTAGAATGAGTAATGAGGGAGTGAGTAAGGCTGGTAGGGGGAGGGAGAAAGAGAGAGGGTGAGGAGAGGGAGAGAGCTGGCAGACTAGTGTTTTTTTTCCTACCTTGAATTCTTAGCTGGTGGCGAGGGCAGGCTTCTTGACAAATAGGAAGGGAGGATGGAGTGAGAGAGAGTGATGGAGGGAGGGAGAGAATGATAGAGGGATTGAGAGATGTACCTGCACTCATAGCTGGTGGCGAGACCAGTCTTCTTGCCACAGAGGAAGCAGTGTTTAGAGCTCTTCTTCTTCCTACCCAGCGGGACCTTGACTGGAGGCAGATGATATGTCGGGGTGCCTGGAGGAGACCGGAATACAGGATAGTTGTGTTCTACTTTGAGGAAAAAAGCATAGTTCTGGTTTACTTTGAGTAATCAAAATAATATAGTAAGCCAAGAACACTGTATAAAACACACCAGGAGCAGTCAGTCAGTCAGGCCTGGTGTATCAACATGAAATGATGTTTAGTTTCCTAACTATTACTAAGGCAACATGTAAAGGAAAAAATATTGATTGGGTCTAGTGAGGGAATTGTGATCACATATCTTAGACTCCTCACAGCGCATGGAAATTGTTATTTTCCTACTATTAGTAGCTTGAATACTAAAACTTGTTTAGAAAAAAATATGAAAATAATAACTGAAGGATATCCCTAGTTCCAGTGTGGGAATATTTAATTATATACATTGTTAAACTGGTTTTTTCCAAGCACATATTACATAAAACACTCCACATTGCTTTAACTGTTCTCACACCCGTGGATGCATGGAGATATGGTTAATGGACAAGGGTAACAGGACAAAGAGAGAGAAGGGGGGAGGGGAGAAGAGAGAGCAAGAAAGAAACAGCAGACAGAGGGAGACACAGCTAGACAGAGGGAGAGAAACAAAGAGAGAAACAGAAAGAGAAAGAGAAAAAGAGAGAAAGAGAGAAATAGAAAGTGAGAAAGAGAGAACGAAACAGACAGACAGAGACAGACACAGACAGACAGACAGACAGAGATAGAGATACAGACAGAGATACAGACAGAGAGACAGACAGACAGACCCCACAGAGCCCCAGGACAGCAACACAATTAGACCCAATCAAATAATGAGAAAACAGAAAGATAATTACTTGACACATTGGAAAGAATTTACAAAAAAATAGAGCAAACTAGAATGCTATTTGGCCCTAAACAGAGAGTACACAGTGGCAGAATACCTGACCACTGACTGACCCAAAATTAAGGACATCTTTGACTATGTACAGACTCAGTGAGCATAGCCTTGCTATTGAGAAAAGCCACTGTAGGCAGACCTGACTCTCAAGAGAAGACAGGCTATGTGCACACTGCCCACAAAATGAGGTGGAAACTGAGCAGCACTTCCTAACTTCCTGCCATATTAGAGACACATACTTCCCTCAGATTACACAGACCCACAAAGAATTAGAAAACAAATCCAATTTGGATAAACTCCCATATCTATTGGGTGAAATACCACAGTGTGCCATCACAGCAGCAAGATTTGTGACCTGTTGCCACAAGAAAAGGGCAACCAGTGAAGAACAAACAGCCTTGTAAATACAACCTATATTTATGTTTATTTATTTTCCCTTTTGTACTTTAAATATTTGCACATCATTATATCACTGTATATAGACATATGACATTTGAAATGCCTTTATTATTTTTGAACTTTTGTGAGTGTAATGTTTACTGTAAATTTTTATTTCACTTTTGTTTATTATCCATTTCACTTGCTTTGGCAATTTAAACATGCGTTTACCATGCCAATAAAGCCCTTAAATTGAAATGTGAGAGAGAGACAGAGACAGATAGACAGACAGACACAGAGACAGAGACAGAGACAGAGACAGAGACAGAGACAGAGAGAGAAAGAGAAAGAGAGAGAGAGAGAGAGAGAGACACTGACTGACAGACGTGAAGATAATAGGAATGAAGGCCAGGCGTAACAGGACTGATATAAAAGGAGGTTAGTGTGACACAACAGACAGGAGAATCTCCCACCCAATGGGCCATGAGATTGGATGTTGAGTTGTGTCCTCCTCACTAACCTGCTCATATACTACTACAGAACATACTCAAAGGCCATCCACACTAAGATGAGCTGTTTGAAGGGAATCAGTTTGAGCAAGACGAGACACATAATCACTAATCTTGATTACATAATGAGTAGTTATTTGGGATGCAAGGTAATTTGTAGATTAGTGATCAGTGAAGTCCGACTGCAATGTAGCCGATCTCAAACGTACTGCTGTCCTTGGCTCATTGCGTGGTGTATATGGGTTATTGTGTCTATGCACAAACTTGTGTGTGTGTGTGTGTGTGTGTGAACGTGAATGTGTCTCCTCTCTCCTGTTGCTTGTGCTCATTCTGCAGCTGTATCGTATTAATATTGAATGCCATTTCCATGCCACGCTGCAATGCTCATACAACATGCATTGGTTGCTTTCACATAATACTCCCCTGTGTGTGTGTGTGTGTGTGTGTGTGTGTGTGTGTGTGTGTGTACTTGCTGTGTGTGTGGTGTGTGTGTGGCCCTTACTGGCACTAACCCTAGGTCAGTGAGCTGTTTTGTTACTGTGTACATGCGTTCATGTGTGCGTGTGGTCTCAGTCTGCCACTACCCCTGGGTTGGTCAGAGAGCTGTTCCGTCTCTTTCTGACAGTGTGTGTGTGTGTGTCCTCGCTCCACGGCAGTGTGTGTTTGAGCCGCCCACCCTGCTTCACCAGGTCAGAGACACAAAGGCAACAATCTGCAGGGCAGCATTATGCTGCATACAACAGGCCCTGTGCTAGGCTACTAGGATAATCATCTTGCTTTCAACAAAGATTTGGGTTTTTAATAAACAGGATATAAATAGAACCATCACCCCAGGGTGATTCTGATTATATTTTGAATTTTCCGTTATGAAATGTAAAAAATATATTTTCCATCACATTTCCTCTTAGATTCAATGAGATGAGGATCTGAGAATGTCTCCTTATTATATTCTTATCTTCTTAATAGGATTAAAGTACAAATAAAACTTCTATTAAGACTGGGTCTGCTTTTGAAATGGCATGCTATTCCCTAGTGCAGTACATAGACTACTTTCGACCAGACCCAGGTCCATGGGTTTTTAGGGTTGTCCCACTCACCTAGTCTACTTATTGAACTGGAGCCTCCAGCTGATCCCAGGCTGTTGGACGACTGAAACGATGAGAGGAGGTTTCAGACAAGGTCAATAGAGTACCACAGTATGAGTCATAATACCCATAAAACCTAGCAGTCAAACGGGGAAATGGTTCCAATTGTTTTTCCACCATTCATTTTTCCCATAGGGGATTTTAGAAACACTTAAAATAAGGGCTGTGTTTCGTGTAGACTTATCCTGGCGTTCTGTTTTGATAACCGTGTAAATCTCTCTAGGACAAGGTGACTTTTAAATCAATAGATTTGCCTGTATTTACCCCCCCAAAATGAAATGCTAATTAGCTGCTAATGTGGCTATCATAAAGAACTACAAAACGCCATGATGATCTGGACGAGACTGCCGAATCGAGGCAAAGGTAAGAATCTCTGGATTAACTATCTAATGTTAGCTAAATGGAGTAAAGAATAAATAGGCTACATCTCTTTAAATGGACAATTCTGTGAATGGTCTCGTGCAAGTTTAAAATTTAAACAAAACCTGTTAGCAAAGATGTCAGCTAGAGATGACGTGCAGGAGCTTGCAGGGATTTGTAGTTTTGCATGATGTCTACTTTGACACTAATTAGCATTTTCGAATCAGAGTAAATAGAGCCGAATATATTGATAAAAGTCACCATGTCCAAGAGAGATTTACATGGTTATCAAAACATCACACCAGGGTAAGCCTACACAAAACACAGCCCTTATTTTAAGTGTTTCTAAAATCCACTATGGGAAAAATGAATGGTGGAAAAACAATTGGAACCATTTCCCAGTTTGACCGCTAGGTTTTATGACACCTCCACTTTGGGGCTCTATCAACACTGCACAAAATAGCCTGGGTACCAGTCTGTTTAGCGATCGTTACACTCATTAAAACTCCTTGTTCATGCTAAACATTGTTTGGCAATGACACAGAGTACAAGGAGTGGAATGTTAGCAAAACAGGTTATGGATTTCAGGCTACGCAAAAACTATACAGTGTACAACAGTACAGTACCTCACAATACAACACAAATTCACTATCACTGTGCTTCTTTGAGTTGCTTATTCCTATTTGGCAGTTGATCATTGAGTCCTTATTTGTGGATAGTACCCATTTTTCATCTTAGCTGGGTTGTATCTCAATAGTCTGTCCTCACTACTTACCTTGTTGGAGGTGGCTGCTCTCAGCATCAGGTCCTCCTGGAGTAGCTGGATGTTGGCTGGAAGGGAGGTAGCCATGGAGACAAGCCTGCCAAGCCCGGAGGCCCCAACAGCGGGAGGCCCCAACCCAAGTCCCAGGCTCGATCCTAGGACTCCCCTGCTGCTGCTGCCTGGGGACCTGGAGGAGGACAGGGAGGCCAGGAGCTCTGTGTTGCTGAGGGACCCGAGAGGCTCCTTACAGGCCTGGTTGGCCAGCTTGGTGATTCCCCGCGCCTCGCTTTTACTGATCATCTCCGGCCACTTGCCTGGGGAGTCCACATTGATGCCTCGCAAATGAGAGCCGTGAGGGGGAGAGGAGGGGCTAGCAGGAGGAGGATGGGAGAGAAGAGTGCTGGGGTGGGAGGAGGAATGGAGATTGGGTCGTATGGGTGACGTTGCTGAGCCGGTGAACTCAAAGGGTTGTGGTAGTCTTGGTCTACTAGAGGGGGAGGATGATGAGGAAGGAGAGTTGGGTATATGATGAAGTGTGTTGCCTAGTAACGGTGTCCTCACACCTTTCCAGGCTAGCCTATCAGAACCACCCATTGCCCAGTTGTTTAAAGAGTTCATCCCCACAGCTTGGGAGAGCAGAGAGGGGGTGGAAGGGAGTTGGAGCTCTGCTCCAACCCCCAGGGCTCCTAGACCATCCAACCCTCCCAGATCCATCTCTGGCTGGGAAGAGATGTCCAGGCTGAGGGGATCTGAGAGCAGGTCTCCTCCGTACAAAGCTCCAGGCGGTGTGGGCTCCAGCAGGCCCGCCGCCTCCTCCAGCAACCCCAGGCCCAGTGCCTCTCTTCTGGGGTCAGGCAGCTCCATGGCCCCATCAACCTGCCCCCTGCTGGAGAGCACGGGGAGCTGCGGGTACACACAGTCCCTCATGAGCCTGGCGCTGCCGATCTCCAACCGGGACACTTTGGGAGGGGTTCGGATTGTCTTGGGGATGGACTTCCATGGCTCCTCCTCCTGGAGCATGTAACAGGACGAGGAAGAGAAATAGGGCGGAGCTCGGCCGCTGATTGACAGGTGGGTGGAGGTGGAGGCAGCAGCATTGGGAGGGGAGGGAGTTGTGGATCCCTGGTCCCTGATTGGAGGTAAGTGTGAGGCGGAATGATGGGATTGGTTGATCTCGGGCAGGACGCGGAAGAGGCGGTGGTGTCGGGGTCCGGAGGGGTCCAGAGAGCTGCCGCAGGGCCGGGGGCCGACGGGGGGCAGAGGTTTCAACTTGGCAGACTTCTTAGGCTGGGGGGTGGAGACAGAGAGAGTCATACAGTGTGTTTAAGGGCTTCAATTTGAGCAAGGCAAGGCAGAGAATCGCTCACTTTGATTAGATAATGAGTAGTTATTTAAGATGCAAGTTTATTGGTCAATCACTGTCACACATTGAGGCTGTCACAAGTGGGCTTGCATTTTGAAGTTTTAGGTTTAGGATGCTGTAAAGCACTTTGCCAATAAATTGCTTTGGGCAATAAAGATGTATTTTCTCTTCCTTCCTAACCGTGTTAATGGGTTGAAATTAATGACATCCTATGGAATGAATTAGGAAGTAAAACCTGTCTACCTTCTTGCTGATGTTCATGTCATCCATCTTGGCTTTGAGCAGCTTCATCTTGTTCATGGTGATAGAGTTCTCTAGGGTCGGCTGGCCCAAAGCCAAGCCCTCACCGTCGTTGTCCTCCTCCTCCGTGAACATGTTGTACACCGAGCCACCACTGGAACACACACACACAGACATGTTAACAAAGATCACACATGGACAGGCCTTTTACGAGGGAGACATCAACAGCTCGACAGTCAGAATCAGTGTAACAGATATCCTGTTCTAAACTGTTCTGTTCTAAACTACTTCAGTTCCGAATTTTTACATCATTTAGCAGACGCTCTTATCCAGAGCGACTTACAAATTGGTGCATTCAACTTATGATAGCCAGTGGGATAACCACTATTTTTTTTAATGGGGGGGTGGGGGAGGGGGGGGGGGGGGGTAGGATTACTTTATACTATTCCAGGTATTCCTTAATGATGACACACGTTCAACCATCCTGACCTTACATTTTAGTCATTTAGCAGACGCTCTTATCCAGAACGACTTACAGTTAGTGAGTGCATACATTTTCATACTGGCCCCCCGTGGGAAACGAACCCACAACCCTGGCGTTGCAAGCGCCATGCTCTACCAACTGAGCTATAGGGGACCTTGACCAGAGATCTATTGAGGAAGAATATAAACCTGGTCTATTTTTACACGGTCTCTGTGAATGGGAACCACTACATGACCAAAGGTATGTGGACACCTGCTCATCGAACATCTCATTCCAAAATCATGGGCATAATATGGAGATGGTCCCCCCTTTGCTGTTATAACAGACTCTTCTGGGAAGGCCTTCCACTGGATGTTGGAACATTGGTGCGGGGACTTGATTCCATTCAGCCACAAGAGCATTAGTGAGGTCAGGCACAGATATTGGGCAGATTAGGCCTGGCTCGCAGTCGGCGTTCCAATTCATCCCAAAGGTGTTCGATGGGGTTGAGGTCAGGGATCTGTGCAGGCCAGTCAAGTTCTTCCACACCGATCTCAACAAACCATTTCTGTATGGACCTCACTTTGTGGACGGGGGCATTATCATGCTGAAACAGGAAAGGGCCTTCCCCAAACTGTTGCCACAAAGTTGGAAGCACAGAATCGTCTATAATGTAATCTTATGCTGTAGCATTAAGATTTCCCTTCATTGGAACTAAGGGGCCTAGCCCGAACCATGAAAAACAGCCCCAGACCATTAATCCTCCTCCACCAAACTTTACAGTTGCCACTATGCATTCAGGCAGGTAGCGTTCTCCTGGCATCCGCCAAACCCAGATTCGTCCATCGGACTGCCAGATGGTTGAAGCATTTCATCAATCCAGAGTACGCGTTTCCACTGCTCCAGAGCTTTACACCACTTCAGCCGATACTTGGCATTGCGCATGGTGATCTTAGGCTTGTGTGCTGCTGCTCGGCCATGGAAACCCATTTCATGAAGCTCCTGACGAAGAGTTCTTGTGCTAATGTTTCTTCCAGAGGCAGTTTGGAACTCGGTAGTGAGTGTTGAAACCGAGGACAGATTATTTTTACGTGCTACCCGCTTCAGCACTCTACGGTCCCGTTCTGTGAGCTTGTGAGGCCTACCACTTCGCGGTTGAGCCGTTGTTGCTCCTAGACGTTTTCACTTCACAATAACAGCACTTACAGTTGAGCGGGGCAGTTCTAGCAGGGCAGAAATTTGACAAACTGACTTGTTGGAAAGGTGACATCCTATGACGGTGCCACGTTGAATGTCAATGAGCTCTTCAGGAGGGGCCATTCTACTGCCAATGTTTGTCTATGGAGATTGCATGGCTGTGTGCTCGATTTTATACAACCGTCAGCAATGGGTGTGGCTGAAATAGCATAATACACTAATTTGAAGGGGTGCCACATACTTTTGTATACAGTGCTGCTTTAAAGTATGTGAACCACTTGTGCAATTACAGATTTAATCAGAACCAGTCTTTATGATCTGACATAACAGGTTTATATTTACCAATACCATATGTTGGTGTAGAGGAAATCATGCGTGTAGTAGAAAAATAAAAATTTAAAAGGAATTAGTGCAGGTGCAAAAATAAGTGAACCCCAAGTTGCATTGGTTAAATCAAGTAGGTAAGTAGAATCCGGTGGGTAATTAATTAGCTACCAAATGAACGAATGAAAGGAGAGATCGTTAGGAAAGAGTTTGGGCAGGACTCTGATAAATAGAGATAAGAAATCTGGTCAGTTCGGTGTTACCCATCCAGGTGAATGCAATGCATACCATGCCGAGAGGAAAGGAGATCTCAGAGGACATCAGGATGAGGGTAGTGAGAGCACATTAGTCTGGGGAAGGCTATAAAATCATCTCAAAAAGATTTGAGCTCCATCAGTCCACTGTGAGGCAAAACATTTACAAATGGAGAGCATTTAACATGACAGCAACTTGGCCTAGAAGTGGACACCCTTCCAAAATATCCCCAAGAGTCATAAGAACAATAATAAATCAGGTAAAAGCCAACCCAAACTTATCATCCAGAGATTTGCAGACCTCCCTTGCTGCATCTCAGGTAACTGTGCATGCTTCAACAATAAGAACACTGAATTGAAATGCCATTCATGGTAGGGTTGCTAGGAAGAAGCCTCTGCTGTCAAAAAAGAACCAAACTGCCTGTCTTAACTTTGCCAGAGACCACCTGGACAAACCTGAAGGTTTCTGGAAGTCCATTCCATGGACCGATGAGTCCAAAATTGACCTTTTTGGTCACAATCAACACCGCTATGTTTGGCGAAAACCCAACACTGCCTACCACCAAAATAACCTTATCCCAACAGTCAAGCATGGTGGTGGGAATGTCAAGATCTGGGGCTGCTTTTCCTCCTCTGGACCTGGACGACTCCACATCATTAAGGGAACCATGAATTCTGAGGTATACCAGGAGATTCTTCAACAGAACGTCAGGCCATCAATCAAGGAGCTAAAGCTGGGCCGAAAATGGGTCTTCCAACAAGACAACGACCCAAAGCATTCAAGCAAATCTCCCAAAGAATGGCTCAGGAGAAAGAAGATTTGTGTTTTGAATTGGCCAAGTCAAAGTCCTGACCTAAATCCAGTCGCGATGCTGTGGCAGGACCTGAAGCAGGCCGTTCATGCCAGACACCCCTCAAACCTCACTCAATTGGCTGAGTTCTGTAAGGGGGAGTGGGCAAAAATCCCTCAAAACAGATGTCAGAGACAGATTACTGGCCATTGGAGACATTTTGTCCAAGTTATCGCTGCTAATGGAGGTGCCACAAGCTATTGACTGAAGGGGTTCACATTTTTGCACACATCAAATCTGAGTTTGTTAAATACACCACTTTTGTTAAATAAACAATGAAAATATATAATATTTTTTTGTTTCTGTCATTTACTTGGAATGTCTTTATTACTAATTGGGGTTTAGATAAGGATTTTATATGTTTATTTTAATATTTTATAGCAAAATAATGACCAGCCCTGTAGGGTTAACATACACTATATATACAGTGCTGCTTGAAAGTATGTCATTTTGCAGCCTACACTTCCTCAAATAAAGCACACTGATCTAAGATATGTACAATGTTTGAGAGTGGAACGTGCTTTAAAAACAATGTAGTTGAATTGGGACTGGAAATTTTTTATTGCACTGCGAAGAGCACTTATCTGGAGTGGACTGTATTCACCTGAATGATTCTGAGACAGGGGTCAGAGTTCCGTCCCCTCGGTCGACGACCCGGAAGAAGTTGAGCTGGTCTCCCTCTCGGTACACCAGGAAGGTGACCTGCTTGTTGCTAGGCAGACTCTTCTCCCAGCCCTCCTGCCTGCCTCCCTCCATCAGCTCTGCCATCTCCTTCACTGGGTCCTCCACAGACACTGAGGGAGAGAGAAACAGGTCAGTCAATCAATCAAACAAACAATCAACAACCATGTACACTGTACAATCAATCATGTACACTGTACAAGAGAGAGAATCAACCAATCACTGAGTCCTTAATGGACCTGAGGGTGAGACTGCTTGGACAGTGTTCATCAACTCAACATGTTGCTACAGAGGCTACAGGACTAAAACACCCACAAATAGGAGCATTTACTCTGTGTGAATACTTATGGGTTTACAGCAGTGAAGGCTGAGAAATCCCAACCTACCTCTCCTGGTGTTGATGGGTCCTCCTCTCATGGCCAGGACCAGCTTCAGTGTACAGCCCTCAGCAATGCTGCAGACACACAGACAAACAGAAAACAAGATAAATGTCAGCAATTATGGTTGGTAGAAGCTGTCCTAAGTCCTTTGGCTCGGTTAAGCTATCATCGTATTGCTTTGCCCTACAGCTAGCTGGATCGTTCAGGCATGGGTCATGTTCATTACAGTACGCAGCGGAAAACTTAGGTCACTCCCTGTTTGTCCGTTTTCTTCCGGTGCCTAATGAACATGACCCTGGAAACACAGACCAGGCAAACGATAATTATTGCGGAACAAACATCGTTCATCGTTCCTCCGTCAGTCTGTGCTCCAGATTAATTTGGGAATTCCGCCGGAATTCTAACAGAACGTCAGTTCTATGCAAATCCACCTCCTCGCTCCCTCCATTTCTAAGACTTCAAAAGGATGTTTTGTTGCTACTCAGACCTAACTAAATCTCACCGGGGACTGATCATTAAGTGACAAACATTCATGACGCAACCACCCTCTGCAATCTGTGGAGTGGGTCTGTATCTAATAAAACTGACGACTCATTACTGGGATAGGCTAGCTCTCCAAACACATTCTATATGTGACTGTCTTAGCCAATTCTACATCTTTGGTTGATTGATATAAGGGTTTGGCGAAATAATTTATTCACTACAAGGGGAATTAATTTATAAGCAAATAGCCAGGTCCTCTAAAAGTTACCCACTTCCCTCATTTCAATTAACCATAAATTAAAAGATCAAAGTTGATGGTTCATTTACAGGGCATTGCTGTATATGAAAATGGGTTCGCAGTCAACTGAACAGAGTAAAAATAAAATAAAGGAGTTGTGAACAGGGTCGTGTTCATTACGGCAAGCAACAGAAAACAAAAGTGCCAAATCAACACAACCCTGATAAACTCACCTGTAGTCATGCAGACAGTACTCATCCTCCAGCTCCAAGTTGTTCCAGATCAGGTGTTGCTGGGCAACAGGGATACCTGAAGAGAGATTTAAAAACATTTACATACACAGCCCTGATTGGCAAATATGATCGTCTAGACCAGGGCTATTCAACTGGCGGCCCGCGGGCCAGATCCGTCCCGTTTATCAATTTAGAATGGCGCTTTCGTCAATCTGAACATAAATAAAAAATAAAAATAATCTGCAAAGAAATCCCTGAAAAAAATCAGATGTTTAGTGCCAACAGGAGCTAACTTTCAATATTCTCCAATGGAAGAATCTGTTTTCCTGTAGTCCCGACCATTAAGTGCTGTCAATCAATATCACCCAACATACCAGTTTCAGACAATCAGAGCTGCTAACTATACCGGCTCTTTTACAGCAGATGAGATCACTACACTGCCTGATACACAGAACGTGCTTTGCGCTTAACTCAGAGGATAGTTTTTTTTTAAAGAGTTAAAAAACACCATGGACTCAGTTATGGCTATCATAAACTTCTAGCCTATAACATTCCTTGTTTCGTAGTCTGCTGAGCATCATGATCTACTTTTCCATAATGATGTTCAGTGGCTAAGCAAGGGTAATTATGCTGTCAAGAGAGCAGCCTGTGAGAGTTTAGGGAGGAGACAGTTGCTTTTCTCCACAATTGCAGCCACAAGACAGCTTACACATAACTAGCGAAAATGGTTGAGATCGTATCAGATGTTTGTTTTTTAGTGACATCTTCAAATCAATTGAATGGACTTAATTTGGGACTACAGGGGAGCGATAATACAGTGACATTATTGAAAAACAGACTTATTTTCAAAATAAATGTTATTTTCTCCACAGATTTGAGCCCAAGCGAAACCCTAAATTTCCCTACACTGCACAACAAGTCATCATCAGTACAGATCACTCACTCCCATGATGTCGGAGTTTTTACATAAACTGAAAGTTAACTTTGCAACGAGATTTGATGAGTTTAAGTCCCCACAGAGGTGATGCAGTTTATAATAGGGATCCGTTCTCTACTGATGCGGGGGGGGGGACTTCTCCGCAAAAGCTAGTCAACTGAGATATGCCATGCATAAAAGGTTTCTATGTGTAAAAAAATTTAACAAAGAAAAATAACAAAATAATAAAGAACCAGAAAATAGAAACAGAATGTGATGCTGGTCCACTGAGATGCATAAAGACATGGAACACTAGTCACTTTAATAATGTTTACATACTGCTTTACTCATCTCATATGCATATACTGTATTCTATTCTACTGTATTTTAGTCAATGCCACTCCGACATTGCTCGTCCTAATAGTTATATATTTCTTTATTCCATTATTTTACTTTTAGATTAGTGTATTGTTGTGAATTTCTAGATACTACTGCACTGTTGGAGCTAGGAACACAAGCATTTCGCTACACCCGCAATAACATCTGCTAAATATGTGTATGTGACCAATAAAATTTGATTTGATTTAAAAGGTGTCTTATTTGTAAATAAAAACAAAAGATGAAGCTATGCATGTCAAACGGACAGGAAAGTACAGTGAACAAAAATATAAATGCAACAATTTCAAAGATTTTACTGCGTTTCAGTTCATTTAAGGAAATCAGTCAATTGAAATAAATAAATTAGACCCTAATCTATGGATTTCATATGACTAGGAATACAAATATGCATCTGTTGGTCACAGATACTTACCGTAAAGATGGAGGAGCGGTGGTTTCAACACAGTGCCCCCTATCAGTCATCTAGTGTATATATAAAATCATTGGTTCCAATCCCCGAGCCGACTAAGTGAAAAATCTGTCGATGTGCCCTTGAACAAGGCACTTAACCCTAATTACTCCTGTAAGTCGCTCTGGATAAGAGCGTCTGCTAATTGACTAAAATTTAATTCACAAAGCGTCTTACAGTAGGAGTGCTAATCTAGGATCAGGTCCCCCCTGTCTATATAATATTATTCATTATATCCTAAAAGCCAGAACTGACATCAGATCAGCACTCCTACTCTGAGACACTTTATGAATACGGGCCCAGATGTGTTGTTTGCAGGGGAAACACATTTTCTGCTTATTTGTTGAGAGGTTAGTTTCAGACAGACAGTCGATGTTCCGCTCTAGCAGACAGCCAGGCTAGGTGAAACTCTGCCCAGCAGAAACACAATCACCACTATTACAGACCAGGGAGATGACTCATGCCCCCTACAGGACATAGCATGCTACAACACACCGACGCAGGCCACAATGCAAACTCCACTCTGAAGACCATTTGAGACAAGCACTTGACTTAAGTGTAAAAATGCTCACACATTGGAATCTATCAACAGATCAAACTGGGTATAACAAGAGAGCATGATGACTGCATAAACAGGTAAGAGTACTTGAGGATTGTTTTTCCACTACCATGGTATGGTACTTGAAGGGTAGATGTGTCGGTCCTCTGCCCTCTCTCTACAACCATGCTAGGGTACTTGAGGACAGAGGACTCCCTCTCCGACTGCATCCCAAATGACATCCTATTCCCTATAAAGTGAACTACTTTTGACCAGGGCTCTGGTCAAAAGTAATGCACTAAATAGGGAATAGGATGTCATTTGGGACATAGCCTACCTCTCTCTTTCCAGCTCCTTTCCCCACACTGAATGCACTCGTTGGCCCAGTGAGTGCTGGAGAGAGGCCAGTGTTTGTGAGTGGGGCCAGAGTAGTGCCATGCTACTCTATTGTAGAGAGGCCTGCCTGCCCCAAGCTTCACTATTGTTAAAGGTGCTACACAGAATTTCTCCCCTATGTGGAAGCTAGGTGAATTGATACAGCACTAGGCTGCATTCAAAACAAATCTCCCCCTTCCCCGCATCCCACTGCCCCGTAACATGAGCTTTTACTTTTGGTCCACCAGCTTCCAACTGCTGTAAAAACAATATTTTTAGTTATTTAAAGATATTTCACAGCCATTTAGATGGTACAATGATTCCCTAAACTATCCAGTGCTTGTTTTCTCACATAAACTGAAATTGAACTAACAGTGTAGAATTTTTGCAACCAGGAAATGACAAAGCAATTTCTATAACACAGCCACAAAGTCAAAACAACAGATGCCAGCCAACCCTGTGAGAGAAATCAATAGGTGAATATCACAACACTGGCGGCAGGGTTTCAGTTAGCTGGCAATTGTTATTTTTTTTTAGCCAAAATGACAGGGAGAAAAAAAATCTGGTCTGTAGGTTAATTTGCATATTTAAATAAAATTAAAATTGGCCTGTGTGTATTTGTTAGTTGTTTTGGATAAATAAGATACATGATGACTGTCACACATGCACAGCATACAGAGCCTATTTTGAGCGGGATTTCTCTTGCAGCTCCTCAGCTGGTTTCTGTTGGAGTAAAACAAGTGCTTTTATAAGCCCATTCATTGTGCAACAATTCTAAATGCAATTGCATGTAAAAAAAATATATATATATATATTGAAAAAAAAATTGCGCCTCCCATTCACCATTCAAGTGCAGGCAACAGGCTATAAACGCGTCACCCACCACTTTACAATGTGCGCTGGAGGCAGTATGCAATTTTTAAACATACTTAATTGTTTGAAACCGGAATGTTTTATTTAATATTATGAGGCATCTTAACTTCCTTCAAAGTAGGCAAAATCCGACCATGGAAACGTGAAAGCACGTGAGTTTCAAGTTTGGGGAAGCTTACAATTCATCCAACCATTTCTACTGTTCTGCGGACCTGTTATGATTTTCATATGCACATTTCCGTGGAACAGTTTCATTTCAATAATGTTTTAATTTCTCAAAATCATTGTCACCTGGTTAATCATAAAAATCTGAATTAAAATGATACAAATCTAAAAGTTAAAAGTAAACTAATGTGAGATCACTAGCCTCTGCCATATGGACACACTGATACACCGTGAAATGAGCGCATGGAACTCATAGCCTATAGGCCAATGCAGCAGTAGGCCTATAACTTCCATTTTATTTATTTTTTATTTATTTAACCTTTATTTAACCAGATAAGCCAGTTGAGAACAAGTTCTCATTTACAACTGCGACCTGGCCAAGATAAAGCAAAGCAGTGCGATAAAAACAACACAGAGATACATATGGGGTAAACAAAACATAAAGTCAAAAATACAACAGAAAATATATATACAGTGTGTGCGAATGTAGTAAGTTATGGAGGTAAGGCAATAAATAGGCCATAATGCAAAATAGTTACAATTTTGTAATAACACTGGAATGATAGATGTGCAAAAGATGATGTTCAAATAGAGATACTGGGGTGCAAATTAGCTAAATAAATAACAATATGGGGATGAGGTAGTTGGGTGGGCTAATTTCAGAATGGCTGTGTACAGGTGCAGTGATCGGTAAGCTGCTCTGACAACTGACGCTTAAAGTTAGTGAGGGAGATAAGAGTCTCCAGCTTCAGAGATTTTTGCAGTTTGTTCCAGTCATTGGCAGCAGAGAACTGGAAGGAATGGCAGCCAAAGGAGGTGTTGGCTTTGGGGATGACCAGAGAGATATACCTGCTGGAGCACAGACTACGGGTGGGTGTTGCTATGGTGACCAGTGAGCTAAGATAAGACGGGGATTTGCCTAGCAGTGATTTATAGATGACCTGGAGCCAGTGGGTTTGGCGACGAATATGTAGTGAGGGCCAGCCAACAAGAGCGTACAGGTCACAATGGTGGGTAGTATATGGGGCTTTGGTGACGGATGGCACTGTGATAGACTACATCCAATTTGCTGAGTAGAGTGTTGGAGGCTATTTTGTAAATGACATCGCCGAAGTCAAGGATCGGTAGGATAGTCAGTTTTACGAGGGCATGTTTGGCAGCATGAGTGAAGGAGGCTTTGTTGCGAAATAGGAAGCCGATTCTAGATCTAACTTTTGATTGGAGATGCTTAATGTGAGTCTGGAAGGAGAGTTTACAGTCTAACCAGACACCTAGGTATTTGTAGTTGTCCACATACTCTAGGTCAGACCCGCCGAGAGTAGTGATTCTAGTCGGGTGGGCGGGTGCAAGCAGCGTTCGG